CATTAAACGAAGCATCCAAATAATGCTTTAATTGATATAGTTGTATAACTGTTATATGCTATGCATATATAATTGCTATAATGTTTATTAAACAAAGTATCCAAATATTGCTATAATTGATACAATTGCTCGTTAAACGAAGTATCTAAGTATTGCTATAATTGATACAACTGTTCATTAAACAAAGTATCCAAATATTGCTATAACTGATACAACTGTTCATTAAACAAAGTATCCAAATATTGCTATAACTGATACAAGTGTTCATTAAACAAAGTATCCAGATATTGCTATAACTGATACAACTGTTCATTAAACAAAGTATCCAGATATTGCTATAACTGATATAACTGTTCATTAAACAAAGTATCCAAATATTGCTATAACTGATACAAGTGTTCATTAAACAAAGTATCTAAATATTGCTGTAACTGATACAATTGTTCATTAAACAAAGTATCCAAATATTGCTATAATTGATATAATTGTATAATTGTTATATGCTATGCATATGTAATTGCTATAATTGTTTATTAAACGAAGTATCTAAATATTTCTATAATTGATACATTCTTCATTAAAGTATCCAAAGTATCCAAAATATTACTATAACTGATACAATTGTTCATTAAACAAAGTATCCAAATATTTCTATAATTGATATAGTTGTATAATTATTATATGCTATGCATATAAAATTGCTATAATTGTTCATTAAACAAAGTATCCAAATATTGCTATAACTAATACAAGTGTTCATTAAACAAAGTATCCAAATATTGCTATAACTGATACAAGTGTTCATTAAACAAAGTATCCAGATATTGCTATAACTGATACAACTGTTCATTAAACAAAGTATCCAGATATTGCTATAACTGATATAACTGTTCATTAAACAAATTATCCGAATATTACTATAACTGATATAATTGTATAATTGTTATATGCTATGCATATGTATTGCTATAATTGTTTATTAAACAAAGTATCCACATATTGCTACAACTGATACAACTGTTCATTAAACAAAGTATCCAGATATTGCTATAACTGATGCAACTGTTCATTAAACAAAGTATCCAAATGTTGCTATAATTGATACAACTGTTCGTTAAACAAAGTATCCAAATATTGCTACAACTGATACAATTGTTCGCAAGTATGGAAGAAACGGTAATAAAGAAAATAGGAAACAATCAAACGATCAACACCTGCAACGGATGTAACTTATTATTCTTGAAAACCGTCATGTTTAACCATCGACTCAATTCCGCCTCTCCCCGATTCGCATCGCGTTACATAAATTAACAATCCGTTCCGGTGGTAGGAATTGCGACGTAGCGAGCATTCCTCGGAATTCCGCGTTGCATTATATTATTATAATTGGACACGCTGAACTCGCGGGTTGCGGCCGAAAATTGATAAATCGGATTGTTCTGGCCGGAGAACAATCGCCGCCGTTTACTAGGAAACTGGCAATCGAGGTGTTGTATGTATTCGGAATCGCGAATTTTCGCGAGATCATCTGCGTGAGAACTCTGCGCTGGGAAGAGAGGAAAATTACCCGAACGTAACGCAAAGGAATCCATCACGTTAGCGATGAGCTAGAGCTGAATCGGACGTTCGGTTACGTGATGGCTTTAACGAGCTTCTCCAACGAAGTTGGCATATTTTTCTTTTTTCTTCTTCTTGTTTTTTTTTTTTCTTAGTATCTGTTTAGAGATTCGCTCTCGCGTTTCCTGGAATTTCTCGCGTTTGGACACCAGTGGTAATACAGGGTGTCCATAAAATCTCTTTACAATTTCAAAAATTTATTACAAAGGCAAATGAGAAGACAGATAAGTGGAAATTATTGCAAAATGAGACGTATACATTCAAGTTTCTTTTATTCCTTTGCCTCATTTAATACACCTCTATATGGGCTTATCTGTCTTCTGATTTGCCTTTGTGATAAATTTTCGAAATTGTAAAGAGACTTTATAGACACCTTGTATACCGAACAACAAACACATCTCGCAGCGCGCGAAGATAAATATATTTGATAAGTTTGTAATTGATACAAGTGTCGAAGATACTTATGGTAGATCGGCGTGATCGGGATCGTATCATCATGGGTATAAACGTGAGTGACTCGAACGTACCCTATTCTGGACGTAACGTGACGTCAAGCTCAACTCTTCTGAGTTCTGTATTCTACCAACACTGTCAATTAAATTCGCGAGAAATAAAACCGTGCCAAGATTAACAGGCGCGAATATGCGAGTTCATCGTGGATGATTCAGTCGGTGATGGAAGAACGGGTGAAGGAAAGAGGAACGTTTAATAAAAATTTAATAACAAACCGACTATTAACAATTATCTGTCCTCGATCTCTGTTACACGCGCCGTTCTTGGAAAGTGATTAAATTTAACAAAGTGATCGACAACAATCGACGTGCAGTTCCTCGAAACGCGCATTTCCAATGTTGTTGTCGATCGATGTTGTCGAGCTAAATCATCTCGAGTAGATTCGTACATTCGAGTGCAGCCCTCGAACGTCGACGTTCTTGTATTATTATTAGTCTTTGTCGAACTGGGGATTGTACAGATTGTCTGGCTCACCGGAGGCTCCGACGTAGGATGCTTCTTTTCTTTTTCAAAACGGGTATTCTCGGATAACGAGAAACCATGGAAACTACGAACGTCGGCTCGTGTAAATCCGCGTCGTGTAATTACGCGTGGAACTGGTTCGTAGCACGTGTTAAGTTAATCAATCCAGCTGGAGCGAAAACTGGTCATTACGTTGGCCTTTTAATGGTTAATTGTAAGCAAATTGCCAGCCAGACCTCAAAAAGGTTATCTTCTTAACCTTATTTTTACTCAATGTTTATATATATATATATATATTTAACATATTTATAAAAATATTTTAAAATATAATATATATTATATTATATATTTAAAATATATATATATATTTATAAAAATATTTTAAAATAATTATTTTAAAATATGATATATATTATAATATATATTTAAAATATAATATGTATTATAATACATATTTAAAAAATATATATATATTTTTATAAAAATATTTTAAAATAATTATTTTTTAAATTATATTTTTTAAAAAATATACATATATATTTTTATAAAAATATTTTAAAATAATTATTTAAAAATAGAATATATATATGTATATATCTTAAAAAAAATATATATATATTTTTTTGCCAATTCTAGACCTAGATATTTTAACTTTGTTTACACCTGTCGTGGCTCAATATAGTTTTCCAACTTTCTGGAAAATTTTGACACCAGAGTAAACTCAGCTTCTTTAAACTTTTTATTTTTTGCGTTTTTCATTCGTTTTTTTTTTTTTTTTTCTCTCGTTACTCATTGTCGTGCATTCACTGTGCTTCATTCGGTATGCAGTTCAATTTTCGTTTAGCATGCATTCCGAGTTTGATGCACGCGGAAGAAGCTGATTGTCGTACGCGAGTTACGATTGAAATTCTTTCTAAATCGAAACAGAACCGATTATGACAAGTACACGTACGTTGCTATCTCTATTTTTTCATCCTAACATCTCCTCGTTGTATGTTTTATACCCTCTTTTAATAACGTTGCGCGGAATGTTTCCCTTTTTCATCACGTTGCATTTATTTCGTTGCAAAACGTAACATTTCGAACTCCATCACGGTGTCGACTTCCTCGAAAACACATTAAACACGCTGAACACATGTACATATTTACGTTTTCAACCACGTTTTACACAATTACGTTTTCGACGCTACAATCAAGTAGCTCGTTAAATTAAATTCATAATATACTTTGTGAAGAAAAGTCACTTCCGAATATATTCAACGTTAAGATCGTTTCTCGTCGAAATGTTTGGAAATTTTATTCGTGCCGAGATGAAAAAGGAGAGAACCAAATAAGTATATCAAACAGCGCGTCACGGTGAGAATTTTCATTGGTCGCTAATACGTCGTACAAATTCGTCGATCGATTACCAAACGCTTGTTAATTCACAGAGACCTGTCCTCAGATTTATAATTTATTTACAGTCGCGACGCGATCGTTACAATTGCGACCTTTTTGTTAGCTCTTGTATGTTATACTTGTATGCTTCTTTGTACACTTGTATATCCATTAACTCTTTATTATACTTTATTTATTCTCTATGTTATACTTGTTCTAGTAAACAACGCACGTTGACGATCGCTTTAAATTCAAATGATGTCGCACGTCAGAAGGATAGAATCGACGAGATTTCGTGTTGAAAACGCCATTTGAATGGTCGTTTCCAGCGTTGTGTCATTTTATAATATTCGAAGCGATGCTTCGTAAATAAACTGACGCTGACAGATGATATAAAAAACCGTTTGTCGAGGGCCAAAGGGTTAAGTTAACAGGTTGCAGATTAGACGTTTGAAACGTTGCTCGGGCACCGATTGATGCGAGACCAATGCCAAGTCGAGTTTTCCGCTCGATCGTGGCAAATGCCACTGTAGCGTTACTTTCATCTTCCATTCCTAAACCGTGCCCGCAACGTTATTAATTCCATGCAACGGAAAGACGATAAAATCTCTTCAGACGAGACGGCTTTCAATTCGATGTTATTGACCGGTTGTTAATTCACAGAGGCCCGTCCTCAAATTTATAATTTATTTACAGGCGCGACGCGATCGTAACAATTGTGACTGTTTCGCTGTTTCGCGTTACGTCGACGCATCGGATCGACCAAAGTTGAGCTCTGTCGATCATAGAAACACGTACGTAGAACGGCGAATAAATCCGATACCATTCTCGAGAAGAATTCTGTACTCGTATGGCAGATTTGTGTTTGGTACACGTAACACGTAGTCACCTGCTGTACTCGAAGGATTCGCACGATCCAGCTCGCGTGCGACGTGCAATCAAAGTCAAGGTGAAATCTGGAAATTTCCAAACGCCGCGGCTGAATCATGAGATGTGTACCAGATCTCCGTCGTACAACCAAGATCTCGGAGAGATCGTGTCGCCTCGCGGGACAACAAGAAACGTGACTTTCTATGACAGATCCATCGAGAGAGATCAATCTGTTTCTATTTCGTAGTTCTACGAACAGGATCTTTAGCGGGGTCTTTAGTATGAGGCAACGTGACGTAACAATAAAATTGTTGGACGCTACGTGCTACGAATACGTGAAATGAAATATTATTCCAGGGAAAAACGTAATGTGGAGTTTTTTTTTTTTCTCCTTCTAAAGATTCTCGATTCGGATCGGTCGGTGAAAAGAATTTGTCACAGACAAAGACAAATTTATATTTGTTTCAGGTCAAAGTATGAAGTCTGATTGTGAGTCACATGACAAGAATGAAATAAATGAAATAAAATTTGTTAGCTGCCTTCCGACAGCACGACAGTTTCCAATTTGGAAATGACGCGAGCAAAGATCACGTAAAATGATAAATAAATTAAAATTTTTAATAATTTAGTTGAGTTTTAATTTTAAATAATTTCAATAAACTAGTTGATATATGTAATTTAATTGTGTAATATAAGTGTAATTGTGTAATTATAAATGTAATTCGATTGTGTAATAATGATCGTTATACGATGTGAAATCTGAATATTTTGTTCATGCGACTATCTACTTTATTTATCTTCAACGATCATCGTGACTCAATAGTTAACAAATATTTTTATTGAAATAGTTTGCTTGTTATTGGTAAATAGAAAAAGATCATAAATGTAAATTTCAGTGAGAATATAATTAGGAAGATAACTGATGAATCTTCAATGTTCAACGAGGCTCAAGATTGGACAATTAAAAGGTAGTTATCGTTTTTAATCAAAGTAGCTACGAGTAGCTTGGCTTCTGCAAATGCTAAATGAGTTAATTCAAGTAGATGCTCGACGAGTCTCTGATACACTATCACCGTTTGTCATTTGCATTTCAGCATTAACAATAGCGAGTCGCGATCTATCGAGAATCCTTTCAGTCAAATTAAAATTAGCAACCAGTGTATTACCGCTTCTCCGTCGATAAATTGGTAATTTAAAAACTGCTTGCAGTATTTTTAAACTCTTTTTTCTTTTTTTTTTTTTTTTTAATACTCCCTGCTATTCCATTCTCTACGCTTCGAGAAAAAAATTTTAATCTAAATATCTATCTATTCTCATTAGTTAAATTTAATTAAAATTATCTAAATTTAAATATCTGTCTATTCTATTTAAATTTAATTAAAATTATTTAAATTTAAATATCTATCTATTCTAATTATTTAAATTTAATTAAAGTTATTTAAATTTAAATATCTATCTATTATAATTATTTAAATCTAAATATCTGTCTAGTCTATTTAAATTTAATTAAAATTATTTAAATTTAAATATCTATCTATTCTAATTATTTAAATTTAATTAATTAAAGTTATTTAAATTAAAATATCTATCTATTATAATTATTCAAATTTAATTAAAATTATTTAAATCTAAATATCTGTCTATTCTATTTAAATTTAATTAAAATTATTTAAATTTAAATATACATCTATTCTAATTAAATATCCATTCTAACTTATATCTATATTTATATCTATGCTTGGCGGTTAACGTTTGGAAAAATCGTAACACGTGGTCAAAGCGCACGAAAGATTTAAATGGTTTTTAATCGTTTTAAATCGTTTTCGCTGAAAACGATGGAAATTTTATGTGGTTAATTACTTCTCTGTACATGACACACGATAAACCAAGTGGAAAAACCGTTTTTTACGCAACCGTTTCCCCGAGATTTGTATAAAACGATTTGAGAGGACACAGTGTGTCAGCAAATTTCATGGTAATTGCGTAACTCTCGAAGGACTTGCGTTGTTCCTTGCAGCACATTTTATCACGGAGTAATTGCATATCCAATTAACACATAAACAATGAATCATGGTTTTTCATTGAGAATGCATTTTTTGCAATAGCGCGCAAAGTCTCTCAAAGTCAAGTCTCTCGTTCGGTAGATTTTCACCGCACGGCGTTATGCGAAAATGTCATGCACCGATATGGTAATACCGCCGAATTTACATTCCTTTCTAATAATAGTTCTCGCGTAGTGTGATAGCTGGCCTCTTAATTCGTGCGATCATTAGCAGTATTGCGATGTTCAATAACTGATTAACGAGTTAGAAGGAAAAGATACTGCGTCGATTTCGCCGCAGCGTAATGCACATACGCGATTAAAAAAAAAAAAAAATGAGCGAGTCGAAGTTTTATTTGCCATTTGTTCACACACGTGCGAGACAAATTTGTTACTGTTTGTGCCTTCAACGTAGATTCTAAATTAGACTTGTTAATTTTAAAACTGACACGTCCAACTGAAAATCGTGGAAATCGTTCCGTGCATTAACGCTGCCATCATCATCACTCTTGTCTACATTAAGAGAAGCCATGCGGCTGAAATTTAGATGCGTGTGTTTATATATCTCGCCTTTATCGAATTTTTCCAATATTTTCGAGTCAACTTTGTATAGAGTGGCCACTGAAAAACTGAAAAATTCATAGAGAAAAATTTTAATACAAATCTTAATTTATAAAAATTTACACATAGCACTGAAGAAAAATACATTAATCATATTTCCAAATAAAATAATAAAAAATTTTAAAAAACATGTGTTTGTAAAAGTTATTTTTGTTTTATGTCATTCACCCTGCATTTCGGTGGCCACTTTATTTATAAAGATTTTCCTCTATAATTACATCAATTTTTCATACACGATGAAAATACGCAAATTGCGAGAGTGTTTGAAGAAAGAGCGACGACACAGAGCAGAAGGGAGTGTAATTGAAATTGAAATTACAGCATGACGTTGCATCTTACTTACGATTATATCTATCTTGAGCCTCTTCGTCGTCCTTTATGCTCGTTGTTGCATGACGTTGCGACCTCTCGGTTTCGCTGAGCCCTTCCGGAAACACGGTAGAAACGTTCATGATGCCAGTCGATTTGTAAAACTGCAAATAACATAGAACACTAGAGCGTTTGTTTTTAAATCTTCTCGGCGTTGAATCGTCAATCATTTTAATCGTATCATTCTCTAGGAATCACCGAATCGATCGTGTTTCAAATCAAACGTGATTTCAAAGGCAGTTCGATTTAAAAATCACGTATTAATGGATCACATTGTGATCCATCTTTTATTCTGAGTGACGCGAGTTTCTCTTTTTCTTTATTCTTCTTCTTCTTCAACCGTGTAAACGTAAAATAAATATTTAACGAATTAACGCAATTTACATTCATGACTGATTCGAGTCGTCGAAGCGTGCGATTAATAGAAATGTTAACTTGTTCCGGTGAGAAACGTTCCGCGACACTGTCGGATCATGTTTTGCCCGATCGTGTTTCCGGATCGTATCAAGCGGCATTGCTAATTCGACGTATAAATTTCATCTATTAGCATCCTAGCTGACAACGTATTGTAAACGTCGGTGGTAATTTTCTACACTGGAGCAACGTTTGTCAAACGGAGAAATCGACACAGTTCGTAAAAAAATACTAGCTAAAGTTACAGGCGAACGAGCTCGAATAAAATCGATCTTGGCTATTACAATCTTTTTACGTAGCGTGTGTCGTACGATGGATATTAAATAATTAATGTTTTAAGTTCTAATTCTTGCAACACAAAGGAAGAAAAGTATTGTCGTCGTTTGAAACTTTCCAAGATATTTTTCTTTCTCTCTAATTATCAATATACGTATCATTGTCATTTTCTATATATTTAGAAAGAAACTAAACCAATGCCTTTCTCTCTGACATTTTTCATTGTTTCGTATGTAACATCCGAGATCGAAATGGCTGAACACTTTTCGAAAGGGCGCGAGTAGAGCACACTCACGGGATTTCGCGCCAACTGCTTGGCGGTCGATTGGATGGTCAAAAACTCGTGCCAAAGATGTAGATACGAAGGCCTCTTGCCTACTGAACGTTGCATCCCCTAGCCGGCTTATAGACGATGGGTCTCCAGGTCGTGTCTTCGTCCAACCATACGTGCACCTCGCCACTGCGCACTTGCCTCACCAAGTTAACCGTATCGAGGCTTCACCCCTCGGGTGGTGTCAATTTCGGGTCGACCGGCGAAATTTTACGAGGAGAAAGCAACGCTCGTGAATGGACGTACGGTGGGGAACTCCGGCGTTCCGGCGTTCCAGCTACGAAATGTTCGCCAATCGCGTGAACATGGCGTGACCGAGGCAGCAAGATCTTGTGAATACGATGCCCTTGGCAGCAACCCTGCCGCAATTGCGTGACGCAGAGATGGTCACTGAACAGAAAACAGCAGAGCGCCGAGCAGCAGTGATCAATCTTCTTCCTGCTATAATGCGATACTTTCGTCTCGGTCCTCGAGTTATCAGAAGCAGAATCCAAGCCCAAGTGAAACTGCGGCTTCCTGAAATTGAACGAACGTTTTAATTGCGTTTCACTGCATGATCTTCTCGCTTATTCATTTACTATCTGTACGAAGCACTGTGCTCCACCATGACTGGAATAAAAATGAAAAAACAAAAAAGAAAAGGAAAAACGATAACGAAACGATGAAGTAGAACACTATTCATCCAACTAGTATCTAACTAGTATTTATGGCATTGACCATTTGGTGGTGGCGTAAATTGGTCTCCCGGTGTATTTTCGAATAATTAGATGACCACTTCCCAATTAATTTCTAAACTAATTTTCAACGTTCACTCTGCGATATTAAGGGACGGTGATAAGAGTCTTCGTTGGGAAGGTCGTCCGAGATTCTTCGGCTTCCGGTCATCGCCTGCCAACGTCTACCGAGATCTTACCGGTGATACGATTCGCAAGTGGGTCGTTGTTGTAATCATCATAGCGGAGAGGATCTTTTTTGACGGTGAAACGCGTTGGAAGAATTTGAAAAACGTTTCTACGTTCGACATAAATCAATCCTTGCGCATTTACCGTGGCCTATATCGGATCCGTTAACTGATATTACAGCGATGGTGAGCTCGCGTGCAGATAAAACCGCGACAATTAGCATACGTGAGGTCAGTCGATGGATTCAACGAGAAAGAGGCGGGATGGAACGTCACACCTGCAGTCCCTAGTACTTGTTTCGACTATCTATGTTTGGAGTCGTAGCTCGCCGCCTCGCTATTAGTTTGTTTCACATCAAAAGAAATTCATTTCTGCGTAAAGTTTACTTTGGTACTTGGCTGTTCCGCTGCTGAACAACGCGACGAGATGTTTGGAGAAGGTAATAGTGTCAATCGTTGTCCGTTATCAGTTATCGTGATCGTAGGAAATACTTAGTTACTTATCGTAGTAAAGATTTTACATATGTATGTAGAGTAGCGTAACTATAAAATACATTGTGAATAATAGAACGAGATAGCATCGTGGTATTATGTCACAAGGCAATTCGTGTTTTATATCGCAGTTTAAAATAAAGTATAAAAATAAGCAAAAATTTATCTGCTTGAATTTGCTTAAAAAGACGACATAAAAGTTATTGATCGCTCTATGACGTTATTCTTTTAAACGTGAATATTTTATCATAACACTCAATTGTGTTATAATATGTATATATAAAGAACACAATTGCACAATCATGATTTCAAGCCACATATCCTCCAGTATCTAATAATTTATATTAACATGATTTGTGAACTACTAGCGTTACTCCAATGACAACTGTTTTCGAACAATTATAACAAATTTCACTTCAACACTAGAACTACCAACGACCAAAGTATAATATTTGTGGCAAAGAAATTAAAGTGTAAGATACAAGAAAAAATTAATAATACGATAAGAAACATAAACTTCTGTTGATATATTTTATATTTTAAAAATATAGCTCGAGTATCTAAATAAATTTATAATGTGTAAATGTATAAAATTTGCTTTTTATTTATAAATGTATAAAATTTCCATAGAAAATTATAAATTGGTCGTTTTGACCACTCTGGTAGTTCTAGTGTTAATTAAATTGACGTAGTCTGCTTTCTGCGTTATCAACTGTGAATTCTGTCGCTTCTGTCAATTACAAGTTTGAAGGTGATTTACTTGATTTCCTTACAGATCTATGGTATCGTGGTATGTGCTCGTTTTCCACCACTGTGATATCTCTTCACGAAGAATACCTAGCCTGAAGATTAATGAACTTGTACTCTTGAAACAGGACTTTGTCAAGGTTGACACGAAAGCTGTTTCCTGAACAACTGCATACATACTCCAAACTGGCAAACCAGAGGGAGATTAGGGTGTGTTTAAGGCGAGGCGGCTGCTTTCCATTACGTTGGTTTCTTAAATGTCTGACAGCGCCGAGTGCTACAAATTTCGTACACACCTCTTTCTCAGGGGAGGATCAATGTAATCTTATCGACTATTCCTTTTGCTTGTTTCAAGGTAGCCAGCGGTCGAATTCGAAACTGCGCGTCGCTTTATCGTTTGATCTTCCTCCAAAGCCACGATATAACGTTCATCGACACTGAAGAACAGTTAGATTTCTGTGGAGAAAAGAAAAGGAATGACTGGTTTGGAAGAGGGAAGATAATTGCCAGCAGCGTTGTGAGAACGATTGTGCACGTGTGTGTGGCATAGCAGAGCGCGTGTACGCAAAGAAATACATACTTATCAGCCGGATACTTGTTCCGCAGAAAAACAACAAGACGATGAACCAGTTGACAGTGGTGAACTCGTGGAAGAAGTGCTAATGATGATGACGATCCTGCCGTACTATTACGTTTCCAGGAATGTATGTGGCCTTACCAAGACTGTACAGGGTGGACGAATAGAATGTTATGGAACCAAATATCTTTTCAAGAGGATAACGGCTTGGCAAAATTCTGAGCGTGATTTCAAATTGATTTATACATCCATGAGGTAAATTAGTAATTTAAGTCATCATTTTAACTGTAAGGTAAAATTAAAAGGTATTATTATATTCAAGGTAAAGCTAAAAAGGTATAATTTATCTATAAGGTAAATTAGTAATTTATCTGTAAGGTAAATCAGTAATTTAAGTCTATAATTTTAACTATAAGGTAAAATTAAGAGGTATTGTTATATTTAGGGTAAAACTGAAAAGGTATTATTATATTTAAGGTAAAATTAAAAAGGTATAATTTATCTGTAAGGTAAATTAATAATTTAAGTCTATAATTTTAACTATAAGGTAAAATTGAAAGGTATTGTTATATTTAAAGTAAAAATAAAAAGTATAATTTATCTATAAGGTAAATTAGTAATTTAAGTCTATAATTTTAACTAAGGTAAAATTAAAAGGTATTATTATATTTAAGGTAAAACTAAAAAGGTATAATTTATAAAGTAAATTAGTAATTTAAGTCTACAATCTTACATTTAATATTATAAATTTGGCTTACTTGAACGCTACAAGTTTGATTCTTTCAGTTCACCCTATATGTACATACAAAGTCTGTAAAATAACAGACTTCCGTGGACGATATCAAGTTTTGAGTGCGCACCATCACGTGGAAGGCCTTGAACTTTACCGTCCATCTAAAAAAAGACTATGAGAAACGACATAGCATGACTTTGAAAAAGGCCTGGCCCTATGAATTATTATTATTATTGAAAATAATGGTCATCATTAATTTCATTCCACTTCAAAATGATGGTACATGATAGATACATGATAGTCTTTGGGATTTGTCAAGGTAATGAATTCGTTGAATGGCACAAAACAAACTTGCTAATTATGACGTTATCACAGAAATAATGAAATTTCATTGAGAAACGATAAAAACGATGTTTGATCAACGTATCATAATGCTCGTTTTTATAGCAAACCACTGAGGTTTAATTAACATAACACGGCAAGTTAATCTCGTTAAGGAAGCTGATATATGGACGAATTAAATCATTCTTAAGTAGAGAATCAGCGGAGGCGTGCAACGTTTGCGTTTTGAAATGCAGATTGCCCATTCGATCAATTTGTAACACTAAACGATTCATCCTGCACGATGATTTTAATATCTGATCACAATTAAGCGTGGACGCTCATGCCTTTATTCTTCTTTAAAGTTGCATCATTTTTGAAAGTGTTGTGCTAAATGAACATGTAGAAATTTATTCTCAATTATATATATATATGTACATAATAATGTTCCCTTCGAGCGACGACTATGATTCTCAATGGTTTCTTTGCTTTCTATCGTGCAAAGAATATATTCACGTTCAACGTCGGTCTGTGCAGCAACAGATACGGATGGCTTGCATACAAACCGTTAAATTTGTAGCCAATCGTTGTGAAAGAATGCTGAACAAATAAGGGAGTAAACCCAGCGACTTGTCAATCTGACATATGGCCGTAATACGGTGGAAGAGAGAGATCGTTGCATACAAATCATGCGTAGAGACTTTAAACGGTATCTCTAGGTGTATCTATCGATTGATTTCCACTGTACACAATTTTACTTCAAAAATATATCATTATGTTACATACATGTGTCGACCAAAGGTATTATTATAATTGTACAATTCTATATATAGTCGCTCTTTTCTTTTCATTGGAATTATTCATTTTTATCTATTTTATGGAAGGAGAAAAAAAAACAGCTTGTAAAGTTTGCGGTTGGTTTAAATGTAATCGCAAACTGTACAACTCGTGAGGTTCTGCATGGTTTGTCGTGCACGGAAGTTTCGTTGTCGACTTGCGTTTCCGTTTTCTAATTGGAAAACGCAAACTCGCTCGTTCCAAGTATCGATGACGATAAGTATTAAGGAAAACGCAAGCCACCAATTTCGACAGAGTAGGAAATAAAATTACTATCTGGTAACCTGCGACAAATAAATTTAGCGACAGATGTCTATTACATTCACTCGTAATTCCGCGTAATTATAACAATTTCCTTTCAATTCCTTTTCTTCGTTAAGGACGTTGGTTGTGCTTAATTATCGTATCATAAGTAGCGGTGAAAATATGTACTATATTACGAACAACGCGTTACAAAGTGCAATCATCTTCTGTACTGTAGAGATAGGCACACCTTCGGTCATAAACCAATATCTGCAGGCCAATAAATCGTTAAATTCTGTTTCTTCGGTAACATGTCGCGTGTTTGATGATTTTGAAACTTTTGAATTTTCGTTTACCATGGTAATTTGCCGCTAACAATGAAAGATAATACAATGAGAGGCAAAGTAAGAAACACGAGTATCACGATTCAGAAAAATCTGTAAAAAAGTTCAAGATTGGCATTTATCTCTTATTTGGATTTACGCGTTGTGTGCCGTACGGCTGCGAAATTAAAACAACAGCGTTACCTGGAGATCGTCGTACGTTTTAACCGTGATATCCCTACTCTGGTAGCATCTAGCAGAGTACCAGAACAGACGCAGTTAGATACGTGAGACCAGTTGGTTTCTATGCTCGGGAGCCTCAACAGTTATCGTTCAGTAACTCTTGCGGAGCATTCGCTTTCTCGAGAGCCGCTGTCGTGAACCTTGTGACAGGATTCACCGCCTGAAAAATATCACAGAAAACTCTTAGAAACACTCTACGCCGCTTCTGCACCGATTCAGACCATCTCCGAGGTAACATTTCTCCCTTTATTTTCCGACCGATGTTTAATTGAGTTGACAAAATTAATTCAAGTCCCTTCTCTCGTTCACTTCGTCAACTTTCGTTCGTTTATATTAATTCGAGATTAACATCAATTGTGCTTCAAGTCGATATTTTCTTCTGTGTGTACAAAAATAAATGCAGCATCAATGAAAAATAATTCGTATAGGTTCTCGTCTTCACAAAGTGCAATAGCTGTCAAAGCAATAAGTCATATCGATAAACGTCATGTTAAAGCGATATTTCTATATTTACTCAACGTCAATTCACGTTGCAAGGAGATTCGGTGAAGAATTGTTGTTGGGTTCGTAGTGAAATAATTTGGTCAAAGAAGAACTTAAACTTTCTCTTTTTAAAGGCTTTGCTGCGGCCTGTTTTAGATGAAATCTATTACAAATCAGCTTTTGCACTTTCAAGTGTATTCACGCAACTTCTCGCATATGAGCAAAGACAAATTAAAAGATTATAATAGAAAGATGTATGTGTATAGCAACAGTTACATTTACTTATGCATTTCATTCAGCGAAAAGTTTTTAGGAAACAAAATAATTAAGAATTACCGCCCGTGTTCTTGAAATGATTGCGTGGAAAAATAGCTATTTTGCAAAATGACGGGAGGCGGTTTAATAGCAACGTTGCTGTGACAGTAGAATGAAACTCCGTTAGCTCGTAGTATTATAGCCGGGGTAGGAGTGGCGTTTCCTACCACCTTCGAAAGCTTTCAAGAAGATCCACAAGGAAAAAAAAAAAAAAAAAAAAGACATATGACTTCATCGAATTAATCCTAAGATAAAATGCAGTTTAAAAATAGATATCCCACGACCTTTTGAAATTCTATGATTCTTGATTAACTTTTGCATATTGAACCGTGCCATTTATAGCGTATGATCGTCGCTACGACCACACCCTACGATCTACCGTAGTCGCAAATAGAAAGAAGAAAGCTCGCCTTACGCTAAACTGCAAATAAACATATTAAGATAACGTAGCGAGAGGACGTTTCAACGCTTTTATTTTATCACCGATTAAAGAAAGTAGGGTAAGAGAGAAAGAGATGAACAGAGATAAGAGGAGATATCGAGGCACCTGCACTAAACCATATAAGGGTAACGACCATCGCGGTCGAGGAGTGCGCGACGATAAATCGCCGAAGACGTAGCAACTAATTTATGTGAAGTTGACCTGTTTCCGCTGCCTTTACGGATCGATCCGATCGAAGGGCAACGAAAAAAAAAAAAAAAAAAATGAATGCGCATTCGCAATTTCAAATACGGATACATTCAGTGAGACGATTGATGAAATTCTTCTTTCGCATCTTCGTTCACGTCTCTCCCTGTTGCTATAGATCGGGTTAAACGATATCCAGGAATGGATGCAAAGAGATATCCTCAAACAGCGATGTAACAAAAGCTGGGGAAAAATACCAAGTAATTTAACGAGGTCGTATGGAATCTAAGGTAAATGATTCTGTTTGCAGCCCCAAGAAACCGTTGCGATAGAAAACAGAACAGTTGATAGTCAGTACAGTTCGTGAAAGCAACTGGAAAAGAAAAAGAATCGTCCAATGAATTAAAATTAACACACAAACGGGCCGCGCTAATGCAACCTTCGATAGCTTTGCGCAAACAGTTACGAACAGACGTGAAAAATTCAGTCTTCGAAGAAGAAAGAGAAACGTGGGATTGATTATTTATTGTTGTTTGCGAACGGTGATAATCTGGAAGCGTAAATTTTCAAAATACCGACACTGGAGTTTCGAACGGAGTTTAAACGACTTTTTTTTTTTAATGACACGCGTGCCAGATGGCCTAATCGAAGAACAGTCGATCTGCTAATTTTACAATCGATCATTTGCTTACGTAAGTCGTGGAAAACTAATTGAATGGAACGAACAACGGGCAGCGAAAATTAAAAATCGCGGTTTGATCAATTTACGTAAAACGGTCGAAATTTTTCAGTATAAAAATATTTGCAATTTGTATCAATGACCCTTGTCTGTTCTTACACAAATTAGTCAGGTGCTTACGAGCCCAGTTTTCAAACTGTTATCGCAAATATATATTCAGTTACAGCATCAAATGTAACACAGGGTCTGTTAATTTGATGTTTCACGGAAATTACAGAAAATTTATGGACTAATGCTACAAGTATCTTTATCGTCTAACGAGGAACAATCACAATACACGTTGCGTGCGGTACAGTTGAAATAAATAAAAAAACAATTCGCATTCGATTGTTACTTTTCCCAATGATCCTTCGTCGTAGTTATCCGCAGTTGGTTCTTGCTTATAACAGTCAAAGATCTTGATAGCTGCGAACCTGATTATCGCGCACGTGACACGCGTCGCATCGTAGAAATTGCGCGAAATGAGAGTGACATGCTGCAGTCATCTTTTGCCCGCGGATGATCTCACCCGAATTAAATCCATCATTGAATCGGCCGAGCATTGCGCTCCTCCAACCGTCTGAAACATAAATTCGCCGATGATTTTCTCGTATCGTCTTATGTCATCATACCTTGCCTTCTCTCGCACGCTCCGTTTGTTATTATCCGCGAAAACGACAGTTTTATTAGAAAATGGACCATAAAGAACTCGGTCGTCGTGGTAGGTAGGACGAAAATTAGGAAAGGGTAGAAGATGACCGACCTAGATCTGCGTTGAAGATGTTTGAGTCAAGTAGGCAAGAGCTGGAACGCGGTGGCGTGGATGACGATGGTATTTTACCGGGGAACGATTAAATAATTCGAGACGATCGGGACCGCTTGTCACACTCGTCGAGGATATGATCATTTGCATGTGTAATGCAACCTGGATGCGTTAACCTTAACGTTTCGTTTCTCCAATGTGATTCGCAATAGCGCGGATCACACGTGTGCCGTACCGTAAGCATGCACGCTATACGTGCCCGCGTCCTCGATCTAAATCTACGACGCGAATCGACGGAACTGCTAAACGATCGACCGGTTTCATTTTCAAAGTGGTTAATGTACGACGGATCATCCGTTCGAATATTAATGACGTTCCGCTGGAATTGGATCGCTCTCCGATTAATGTACGATCGCTGTTTAGAGAACGATGTAGAACTTGATTATCTCGTACTAATCTTGAATATCTTGACATTTACGGCTGATCAATTCATCTGAAATTGATCAACTGGTTTTAAAAAGGAAGCTCAAGAAGTTAATCGAGTTATAAAAATTATAGTACAAATTCTCTCTCGTGGTTGTAGCAACGATGATTGAAACAAAATTGTTTTTTCAAACTTAAAATTAATTGTACAATATAATTGTAAAATATAATTGTAAAATATAATTGTACAATTTTAACTTCATGAAACTTCTATTTCATATATAGAGAATTTTACTCGCACGATTGTTCAACGAGTTACAAAATATTCATTTCGTCGACACGAAAGATCCTTGATATTGCTAACCTTTCTCTAAGTAGCTCCGTTACATTTCTTTGAACTAACGGGATCGTTAATAACGCTTTTTTAATAAAGACCGAATTGTCCTTTAGAATCACTCTCTTTGCCAAGAATAACTCAAGGACCTTTGGCTGAACGAAAGGCGATTGTAAACGACGTTAAACTACATGAAAAAACTAGACACAGCTCCTCATGGTTGAACGCAGCATTCCGTTTCAGTTATTGCATCAAATAGACATAACGTCCTAACGTTTGTACACGCTGAATCAACCGGACGAACCTTTTTACAGATGGCAAACTTAAAGGAGGCTCTAGGCGCAAACGAGCTTACCGATAAAAAATCTGGCCTGTACCGGGCACTAGTTGCAGAGTTTCTTGGTACATTGCTATTGAATTTCTTTGGCTGTGGATCTGTTATCACGGGCAACGTCGTGGCCATAAGTTTGGCTTTTGGCCTGGCTGTGGCCTCAGCGATTCAAGGAATAGGGCATGTCTCTGGCGGTCATGTTAATCCCGCTGTCACGTTCGGGTTGATGGTGATTGGCAAGGTAAGGCAAGGAATCTCAGGACGATTGAGGATCTTGTCAGTAAAATTCTAGAACACATGCATATGTCATTCATCTGCTCTCATTCCTAGATGCAATATTTGATATACGTATAGAATAGCTATCGATAGAAGTAAATACACATTTAACATAGTTAGATGGTAGATTTCTTTGTACCTTGTTATACAAACGGTGAAACGTGTGATTATTTCTCAAGTGTCAATTAGCACGATCAGCGGCATATGATTTACCGATAATTTATTCAGCTCCCAGTCATGTGGTTTAGTCACAGATGCTTTTAAGATAATTCATTCGTGATGATGCACTGATGATTACTCGACAAAGACATAAAATTATTTAATCTCAAAGGAGAATACCTCGTAACAATACCTGCAATACTTAATTTTTATAGGCAATAAGTTTTATATATACTGCCATTTTATACAGATTTCTGTAGAACAAATTAATTCGGACGTTGTCAGAATTCACAGAGATACTTCTTATTCTTTTTTTCACAGGTGCCAGTTATTAGAGGCTTGTTATACGTAATTCTTCAATGTATAGGTGCAATAGCAGGATCTGGTATACTAAGAGCATTATCCGCCGAAAGGATGGAGCACGCCTTGGGCGTAGTATCTCTTTCGCCAGGCGTTACTCCCGTTCAGGGTTTCGGTATAGAGTTTTTCCTCGCGTTCATACTGGTTCTGGTTGTGTGCGGCGCATGCGATGCAGCAAAACCAGACAGCAAGGGGATTGCGCCTCTTGTAATTGGACTCTCAGTTTCTGTCGGCCATCTCATCGGCGTAAGATGTACATTCTACTTGAGATGCTTCCTTAGTGATTACTTGTACCCAATTGAAAATAAACAAGAATATTTGAAATTACAATTACGCTGCAATGCAATCTTTTTTTACAGATCTAGTTACACTGTATTGCTTTTACACAGGTGCCAAGAACTGGCGCAGGTATGAATCCAGCTCGATCGTTCGGTAGCGCCGTTGTGATGGGTTTATTCGACGATCACTGGCTATACTGGGTTGGCCCGATCCTTGGCGGGATGGCAGCTGGATTGATCTACGCGTTCGTGATCGGACCTGCGAAAGAATCGCAGGAAAGTTCCAATCGAGCGTACACGGTCGCCGCGACCGACGAGAAGGAGGTATAGTAAAAATAAAGAGAAGTTCCACAGGATGTAATTTAATTATCTGCGAAAATGATTCTTCTTCCTGTTATTGTATCTCAACGTCGACATCTACACAGATAGATCATTTAGCTTTAGGCTGAAAGATATGATGACTCTCGCTGTAGAATCTTTCTTCGTTTACAAGCTTCTTGACTATACAAGCTTCTTTCTTAAATTGTTTGATATCGTGTTTGCTTCACAGAAGTTCGAGTACATAGACAGCGGACGCGGTGGACTTTAAAAAAAAAAAAAAAAAAGAAAAACAGATACGCCGACACAAAGAAAGATTCGAAGACGGGAATGTCATATTTATTTTGATACCGTAGGCGTAGGCTATGATAAACGATGAAATCAAAATGTTATTTTTGCAGCTACAGAGTCTTACCAGTAAGAAGAAAGACAATCCTGCTTAATGTTCTAATACTAACTATCGCATTTTCAACTACCAAATCATTATTTATACGTAATGATTCAAGTGCGCCAAGATGAACCTTACGTTATTAATAATAACTTATTACAGTTATTTAATCAATCAAGTGTAACTAAGGAAAAGTATTCAAATATTTTTGAAGACAAAAAGTAACATTCAAGTACTAATAATAATATGGAAAAATTCAAATATTTCGTTTCAAATTCGTCGCAGTAATTAACACATATGCATGATGATTTTAATTTATCGAATATGCATTTGTTCGCCTATATATTAAATATATAAACTTTGTCTATATAACTCGATTCTTTATAATAGACGAATGTCTTACTGAATGCAACTATTATAAGCCAAAGATTGATTCTGCCGAACTGAAATCTTACAATGTCTATATTTTTTGCTATATTTTTTTAAATACAACGAATTTATTGCAAATCATTTATAAAACATTTGTATTATCTATAAATTACCATATACATCAAATTCAATATAGAAAATTATATTTGACGACTACCGACATAAGCTAATTCATATTAGCTTTTCATTTTGCAATTTTCTAAGTAAAATTCTGGAAACTAAAAAAGATACCATGTTATTACTTGAAATTAATTTTATAATTTATTAATTTTTTATTCACTTTATGTTATTCATTTTGCAATTTTCTAATAAAGTTTATGAATAATACATCTAATTTGTTGTAATTTCACGATTATTGTATGAAAATTTCCAAATAAATCAATAAATGTAATTGATCAAAGTTTCAAATGTTCCTACTAATCAAATATGGCGCGCTTCTGCTATCAGTTGAACAAAGCTGCGCAATGCGCAGAACATGTTTGAATTTCCAACGTTCATTCTGCTATCGTTAGATTCATTACCGCATCCTCACAAATTTTCTCTCGCAATCAACCAATAATTTGAATAAAAGTAAATTAAATATTCAAACAAACGTATTTCAAAGAAATAAACAGTATGAAAATAGTACTCACTACAGTAAGTATACCAAACCAAAAAGGCCCATTAAGGGGAGAAAGATAATTCAGTAATAAATTATAACAATATTCGATAAATAACTAAGTAAAAACATACAATAATTAAATAAGATTAAAAGTAGCCTGAGTACGACCAATGAAAAGATGGTAATGAAAGCATCACACAGTTAATATAATGTCACACGTAGTCATGCATCTTCACATCACGATTTTCGACACAACTATCAACAGGTTTGCGCCAACTAAATTGTTGGAGGGGGTTCGAGCAAATATGATACGGCTAATTTATGAAAAAATAGTTGTTCAATAAGAATATATACAATCGTATGCTAAATGTTCAAATATTTTCTAATTATAGAAATGTAATCAATAAGTAATTAGAGTATATACATGTAATAACTCTTTTAAATAACACTCATTGTTGTAGGTCGCAGACGTGTTCGTAAATGCAAATACGAGTCTAAAATTACGAATTTAAATTGTAATTCTTACCTGAAAACTTTTGGATGATTTTTTGTGATGGATCTTTTCTTTCTTTCCATTTAGAACTGACGCTAACGTGTATAGAATACACGTTATATTCTCATATTATAGATTGATCGCGAAAAATATCGAAATTATGTTCGAGAATGACACGTTTTTTAATTCCGAATTTTACCGTTTCGGTGGCGTTGTAATACGAAGTGAAAAGCGCGCGCATTTCATAATTTGAAAAAAATATAGGAAGCTCTTCTCTAATCCTTATCGTTTCAATAAATAAAACAATTCATTTAACAAGATATCTGTAATTTTATTTCTTTGTAAATTAAATTAAATTTTAATTCTTTAGACTAAATTAAATAAACGTGTTATAATTTTAAGTTTCACAGTTAGTTTTAAATTTTATTAATTTTATGAATATAACTTTGATTATTTAAATTTGAATGGAATAATCATGTTGTTGAATTTACTTTTGTATACTCTGCAAGCATATCGAAGAAAAAATAAAATTCAAAAATTTTAATCCTCCAAACCTTATAAAAACCTCCAAATTTTAACCTCTTTTTAAAAACCTCCTATATTTTAAACCTCCAAATCTTATAAAAAAAAAAAAAAAATGATTTTGAAAAAATTTTTGTCAACGAAGGCTTTAAAGTGATGCAACTTTGTTCTGAGAAATTTTTTGCAATAAAAGATAAGATAGATATCTGGTGATCCTATTTAGCTAAAATAGCCTGTATGTACGGTGAAGGTGTCTCTAAAAAATAAACAACACAATTTGACATTTACACATCATGCTTTATATATTGATATATAGCTTCAAATGTTTATAGAATATTGGATAATTTAATAATTACCATTTCCATTCTAGTTTGACAAAATTAGCATAATATGATTAAATACACATTACAGTAAGTTTAAAGTACCTTGTATGTTCCCAATAGTGGAATCAATTGTATATAATGGTAAAAAAATGTGATACATCATTAAAAGATTTTGTTAATAATTGAAACAAAACGAAGGAATAAAATATAACTGCTGACGTATATATATATACAAACGTCTTATGTTTGGTATTTGTGTGTACAAATACTATAAGACAGATATCTAAAATGAGTGATTAAATTTACAATATTTTTCACTTCATTTTTAGTATTTCTATAACATATTTTTGCACCAATAAAGATAAAATTTTTGTTACACATGATATGAAAATAAACGTTTTTGTTTTCAAACTAATTTTACTTTTTATATGAAAAGTAAAATTAATAGACACTAGCTTATTTTTATATACTACTATTATCGCTAATAATTAATGTTGTAAAAATAATGCTATAATTGCCACACAGAAAATGAAAGAAAGATAAGGAAATTGAAATATAATAATAATAATATATAGATCATTTTTTGTATGACTGATTAACAAATCTAGCGATTAAAATGTTTATCTGTACTTGTCCAAAATGTATAGAGATTGAATTTTTGGTGTATAAAATTATGATTTAAAATTTAATATCGATCAAATTGGATCTTATAGACTACAAATCAAAGCCTGTTTCATAGCTATCTTTTAATCTAATAGAAAGTTTAACCTTCCATCTGCTGAAGTTTGTCTTCAAGACTGTCTTGGCTGTCATTCGTATCATTTAAACTGATTGTGTGAGTTTCATGATCGAGTTCCATCACAGAATCTTCCAATTGACTCTTCTGTACCTCTAATACATTATCCGATGGCTCAAAAATATCTGTTGACTCTGAAAGATCTTGCTCATCTAAAGTCAAATTTGAATTTTGTTCAGGTTGTTCCATGATTTGTTCTTCAGACACTGATTCCATTTTAATGGAGTCAGATTCTATTTTGATGCAATCCGATTCCATTTTAACGGAATCCGGTTCTGGGGGATCTGATACATCCATAGAGACAGGATGTGAATTAGTTTCAACAACGACTTCTTCTTTTTGTGGATATTCTTCTGAATTAGATGGACCAGCTTTTGGTTTATCATTATAATTTTTCTGAGAAGAAGATTCTCCAAGAGAAGATATCTGAGTGAGATTACTCAGAACTGTTTCCTGCATTTTGACTACAGAATCAGCTGAATCCAATATACTGCACAATTCGCGACTCATTTCTTCCACTTCTGATGTTTCTTCTGATTTTACAACAATAATCTTTTTATTTCCATAAACTTTGGAACTGGTTATTAATGGTTTATTATCTTTTTTAGCGTTAGTAGCAGTAGTAGTTGTTGTTATTGCTGGTATTGCTACTACGGTTGATACAGTAATTGATTTTGATATTGCAGAAACATCCTTTGGTATATTTTCTGCTTGCGTTTCAGATTGAATCTTTTCTTTCTCCTTTCCTAATTCGGGCTGAATATCTTCTACTTTTGATGTTGTTGAAGTTGTTATAGAAGTTATTGTTACATCATTGTCATTATATTCTTGTTCTTCGTCGTACATACTTTGCTTCTTCTTTACAAACACTCTCTTCAATGGCAATTGTTGTTCATCATCGGATTCGTCGTGACGTTCTGGTGACATTTCCTCGATAGGTTCATACTCTTGTTGCTTTCGAGCCTCCAATTCTTCAATCTTCAAACGTTGTTGCTCTACTCTCTTTTCCAGTTGTTCTAATTTTTCTTTAGTTTCTTGATCTCCTACCACTAGTGTAGGTTTCTGTGCAGTACATACAATTGGTTTTGTTATCGAAGGCAATGCATTTGTAGACTGAGATGTTTTCAATTCAAATTTCGGAGATTCGCTCAATACAGTATCGTTACTTTTTATCGTGGCAGATGGTTGCCGAAGTTCCGCGGATGACTGTAACACCGCTTGAACCAAACTCTGATGCTTATCAAGTGGTTTTTTTACAACAACTCTCTTGACAACATTGCCAGTTGGCAGCTTTGCTAATTCAGCTGGATCGATTATCGTACCATCGGGATTCATAATAACTTCTCTGGTGGTATCTCCCTGACGAATAATTCGACGAACAATTACTCTTTTCGTTACTTTGTGACCTGTAGTAGGTGTTTGAGAACTACTACTTGTAGCATCCTCATCTTTTACAGATGTACTAGTAGATGTTTCAGTACTAGCAGTAGGTTTTCTCACAACAATTCTCTTTATTACTTTAACTGTGTTTACAGCTTTTGGTGTGCTACTGACTATCACAGGAATTTCAGATTTTTCATCTTTTATAGAAACTTGATTTTGTGAGCTACTCTGTCCTTGCTGAGGTCTTGATTGATTCGTAGGTGTAGATGAGTCTTTACTTTGTTCTTGAACATTTTGATGTTTTAGAGGTATTTTATGCTCTTTAAACACTGATGCAACAATTTTTTGAACTTGCGCTTCCGTTTCATCTACACGGGAAGACTTTGAAGATTCTTCATTCTGTTTGGACTGTGTAGGTTTTGTAGCCGATTGCGACTGATTGCTAGTTGGACTTTGCTTCATCTTGCTATCTTGTACCTCTCTACGTTGAATAGGCATCAAAGTTTTAATTGTCTTTTTGATCATATTTCCATCTTTATGTCTGACGTATACTACTTGTTCTTTTTGATTTTCTTCTTTCTCTGATTTTTCTTGTTCCTCTTCGCTTTCTGACGGTTTAGTTGGCTTTGGAAGCTTTTTCACAATATACGCTGGTGGTTCATAATCATCGTCTCCATCTGAATATTGTTCTTCCTCCTCCTCTTCGTCAGAATCTAAATCAAGTTTTGTTTTATTGTCTGGTTGTAATCCATCTGGTCCCATTTTCTCACCTGCTTCAATATGTTGTTTTATATGTGTAACATAATCTGCCCTATTCCTGCACGATTCCTGGCAGACATCACACGTCAATCCCATACCTGTGCGTTTTGTGTGCGTTAATTGATGTACTTCCAAACTCTCTTTACGTTTGAACGCTTTGCCGCAATCCTCACAAACGTGACGTTTTTCTACAGAGTGTGTTCGCATATGTCTCGTTAAATGATGAGATAGGAGGAATGAACGAGGGCACAGCTTACATAAATATGGCCGATGTCCAGCATGTGTTGTTAAGTGACGAGCTAATTTCGTACTTGTACGGAATGCTTCTTTACAATATTCGCAAACAAAAGTCTTATCTTCGTTATGCAGCACCTCGTGTCGTTCTAAACCCTGTTTGTATGTGAAACATTTGTTGCAAATATTACATTGGAAAGGTTTCTCTTTTTTATGTACGGAATCTTCATGCTTTTCTAATTCTTCGGTAGTGAAGAATTCGCGATCACAATGCTGACAACCATAACGCAGTTCATCTCTATGAACTTTCTCATGGCGTTGCAGTAAATTCGCTCGCGAGAATTGTTTGTTACATATTGAACAAGAGAACGGTTTCTCTTCTGAATGCGTGGTCATATGTTTTCCAAGGTCATATTTAGAAAAGAACATGCGGTCACATTCTGTACATTTATAATTACGATCACGATGAGCTCTTTGAATATGCAAAGCAAGAGCCTGCCGCAAAGGAAACGTACGATCACATTGATCGCATGCATGTACCCTTATCTCACCTGGTTCTAATTTTCGCTCTTCTTTAGTGCTATTTGCATCTTGGTCTCCTTCGCTACCAGCATCTTGTTCTTCTTCATAAAAATCATGTTGATCCTCTTTGTCCCTCTGTTTCTCCACTTGCCTGTCTCTTTCTCTCTCTCTTTCTCTTTCTCTTTCTCTTTCTCTATCACGATCCCTATCTCTTTCTCTATCACGATCCCTGTCTCTTTCTCTTTCTCTTTCTCTTTCCCTTTCTCTATCCCTATCCCTTTCTCTGTCTCTTGTATCCCGTCTTTCCCTATCACCATTATCAACTCGAGGTTTCTTACTTCCTTCAATTTGAGGTCTTTGTTCCGAAGGTCGTTTGTTGTTCATGTCAGGAGGATCATTCGGAATTGGCGGAAAAGGTCTTGGTAATACACCAGACAATGGATAAGCTCTTAACGCTTCATCAGCTTTCTTGCACTGAAGTTTAAATTTGTAAGATCTGTCCAGATTCCAGCGGCACATGCTGCATATCATTTGAGGCATTCCATCAGCTGCATACACCTTAAATACATAATGTCATAAGTGTCATGTTACTAATATTTATTACAACTTGATGTAAGAAAATAAAAAATTTATTGAAGAGATTGCAGGAGATTATATAAAAGTTCATTTAAAATTGTCATATCATGTAAATTAAAGTTTATACGTATTATTAAGTTAAAGTTTATACGTATTTTACAAGCATAAAAGCAACGTAATATAAGATATAGTAAGTGCATGATTATTTTCCCGCCAAAAATTCATTAGTGTAAATTATTGTAACAAGAGAGAAACAGTGAATACTATTTTCACGAAATGTTTATTTATTTACGTATATAGATAAATATCGATAATAGAAAATATTAAAACGAAAATATGATGAATTTTACATTTTACCATCGCAGCACTTAAATGAAGTTATCGATGACATATGATTTCATCCTGTCAATTACATTTATACGAAAATTATCAAAAATTATAATTCTAAAATCTCGATTCATTTACTGTTAGTCGCACGTAGTTGTTGCAGCGAATCAAAAGTTTTTACGATCGAATCGAAATATAACGAGAAGTGATTAAATGCATTTCACTCAATCGGCAAATGTGACATCTGCGTTACCCGAGTCGTACCATTCACTGTCTATTGGCTATCCGTTCGATGAAAGATATCGATGATAATCAAAGGACGATACTTTTAACGCAGAGAAAGAAAAAAGCCGAAAGAACGAACGAGATGCAGCGAGCGGCGATAAATAAATACTTGAATGCATGCCTCCCTCGAGAATATGGTAGTCGGAGAATAAATCAGTAGTGGTCGATGCCGTTTTAAAGGAAAATTACCTCGATGGCGACGCATGACATGATCTGCAGCGTAAGCGGCACTTGAAATGGTTTGCTGTGATCCCTTTCATAGATAAAGGAAAGTGGCTCAGTTTCCGTTAGGCAAAATCGACAGACCCGCCTGGACCTGAGCGGCGCCGGCCTATTCTCCATGTTTGACTGACTACCGTCCGTTCAGGCACCCACAAAGCACACACGCGTCGAAAACGCCGTTCTTCTCAAACGTCGTGTATTCGTACTGTAACGCACTATGAAACCAGTTACGAGAGAAATGCTTGATTTTGTTGGAATATGTCACTCATTAAACAAAATTTCAAGAAACGACGCCGAGCGTCGGTAAGCGTCCCGTCACGAACGACGAACGAGTGGGACAATGTACACACCGCTATGGCGCTATTATGGCGGTCCGAAAACTCGCTTTCTCTGCGTGGCGTCTTCCGTACTTTTCAGGTTTGCACAGCTTCGGCCTTTGCACATTAGCGCCACCATCTTCTTCTTCCATTTCTCGACATCAAAATACTTGGTCGGTAATGTAGGACACATGTTCTCATTCAGTCGCGACGCAGTCGATATTTCGATTAATCGTGCTGAATATTTTTATAACGCAGGAGAAGGTTGATTGTTTGAATATTGAAACAAACGATGAAGATGAAAATAATTAAATCCTAAGTAAGTAATCATCGATCTTTCTTTCTACACTGCTTTTTATATTTAATGAAATGTTTCAAAGAAATTTTGTTGGCAAATGTTCTCAAATTCTTCACAAGATAAAGCGGCCATTATTTCAATTTTTCAGGAACAAAAGTCAAAGCACATTTATTCAGGGTAAAATCGACACGCCATACGATACTGCGAAAATATTTTTGTTACGATATCTCGATAGAATTTTAGTGTGTCAAATGTATATACGTATTTTTATAAAGGTTATATACTATTTTTAATTTGTATAGAACAATGTCTGCTGCAACGAATTGGTTTCGCAAATGGAAAACGCTGCCATGCACAGGTAGACAAAGACGACTACGTGCTACTACTGGGAATCTGGAATCCCTACGTCGTGACATCGAAACGGACGTTCACCTCCGAGCGATAGAGGATTTGTTACAAAGTCTAGGAACCGATGCGACGCGTGGCTTATCCACGACTGTTGCATGCGATCTTTTGAACAGAACTGGTCCAAATGAATTGACACCTTCAAGAAAGATCTCGAAGGCATTGAGATTCTTACATTTATGTTTTGGAGGATTTTCTTTGTTGATATGGGTATAAACATTTGAGAAGTATACAAATATTATTATTATCAATAATAATAATATTATTATTAATAATTATCAATGTGTTATTATTATAAATAATATTAAATATTGTTATGTTAAAATAATATTATTATTATTAATTATCAATATGTTATTATTATCAGTAATATTAAATATTATTATATTAAAATAATATTATTATTATTAATAATTATCAATATGTTATTATTATCAATAATATTAAATATTGTTATATTAAAATAATAATATTATTATTATTAATAATTATCAATATGTTATTATTATCAATAATATGGTGGATTAAGAATTAAACGTACAAATTGGTTAGATAGGCGTTGTGTTATGTTTCTGCAATTACGTCTTGGAGTATGGCACTTACGGGGAAGCTTCCAAGGAACATTTGGGACTTGGTATCGTGCTCGTCAGCTTAATTTTAGTGACAGCGATGTTCAGCCATTACCAGGAGTCGAAGAGTTCCCGAATTATTGAGTCGTTCCAGCAGATGTTGCCGCAAAAGGCGAAGGTTCTGCGGGACGGCGAGAAAAAGGAATTGCCGGTGGCTGAATTAGTTGTTGGGGACATTGTCCTCTTGGAAACCGGTGACCGAGTACCCGCTGACATTAGGATTCTGGAATGTCAAGGTAAATTCGTATCGCTGCAGTTGCGACCGTAACTTTCTTATTTCTCAGCAAAAAAAGGTCCTCGCCTTTCTCTTTGCGGACGCTCGAGATATCGTGTACGATTTTGTTTCAAATGCACGATTCACTGAATCGTCCAATATTTAGCTCTATATAGCAAATTAACGAAATTTATATCATATACGTGCATTACATTTCTTTCTTTACAAGTTGGTTTCATTAGCTGCCCGAGCATTCTGAAAAATGTATATGTTGCCATTAAGGTCTTAAGGTCGACAATGCCTCCATCACCGGAGAATCTATTCCACTTTCAAGAACAGGTAACGTTCGTCCGACGAGCAATCTGATGGAAGCAAAGAACATGGTTTTCTTTTCAACCGACATAGTGGAAGGTAACACGCGTGTTAACATCTCAATTACAATTACAATTACAGTTTCTCAAGATCTCCTGCATCGCTTCATAAAGTTTCGTTTAAATGCGCAACAGGCACCGGGAAAGGAGTCGTGGTTGCTCGCGGTGACCATACGGTGATGGGCAGAGTGGCTAAACTAACTTCTAAATTGGCGCCAAGACCGACGCCGCTCTCGCGCGAACTTCATCGATTTATGAAATTAATCTCATGCTGGGCCGTATTCCTCGGGATACTGTTCTTTACCTTGTCCACTGCGATAGGCTACAGTTGGAACAATTCGATAGCGTTTCTAATAGGTATAATAGTTGCGAACGTGCCGGAAGGATTGATAGCTACTATGACCCTCAGCCTCACGTTAACAGCGAAGAGATTAGCAAACAAAAACTGCGCGGTGAAGCATCTCGAGGCCATCGAAACACTGGGATGCACAGCTGTTATTTGCAGTGACAAAACAGGAACGCTCACGCAAAATAAAATGACCGTAAGTATACTTTCCTCTGCGAATTTTCAGTTCTACTACGTTTCATCAAACAACGTGATACCTTCTTAAATGCTAACATTTCGGTTCACTGAGTTTCTCTTGTTTTAATTTTGCAGTATTTTGGTATTGTAAAGTGTAGGCAATAATTTTACAATGGATTTTATTACAAAGTGTATATTTTCTTGCTAAGCTGAAGACTAACTCCGACGTGCGACCTTGGTGACGTTCTACCGACCGAATGCCCCTCGTTTCGTGCACTCTTTCGGGTACCTTCCGACCTTCATCCGGATATCCTAGCTTTGTTTTACAGCCATGAGTCATAAACCTTGGAATCGGCCCATGGTCCTTAATCTCGAGTGACCTTTTTTAATAGGCGAGGAAATCTTCCCACGGCTAGGAACGGGCGGCGTGGCTAACATTCGCTCGTAAAAGCAATCATAAAGTTAGTCTCATTGTCTGCTCAGGTCCGACACATGTGGTACAACGGTGAATTGCAAGAGGTAATGGCTTCTGACACGTGGAGAAAATATACGAAGAATCCTGGATTTCATAACTTAGCCAGGGTGGCCAGTCTTTGTAATCGAGCTGAATGGGAGCCTCTACCAAAGGACATGCCTGTACCACCGTTAAGTAAAAGGAAAATTTTAGGCGACGCTTCTGACGCTGCTTTATTAAAATGCATGGAAGTTCTCGTGAAAGGAGGTGCGGAAGCATATAGAAGAACTTGTACAAAGGTGTTGAAGTATAGTTGTTTGCAAACACCTATCGTTTGTCAACGTAACGAATCGTGGTTTTTCTTTTTTTTTTTGATTCAGGTGTTCGAAATACCGTTTAATTCGACGGAGAAGTTCCAAGCGAGCGTTTACCTGTGTGGCAAGAAGCACGTTGTTTTCTTAAAGGGTGCGCCGGAAAGAGTTTTAGAACGATGTTCAACCGTAGCGTTCGACAACGAAACGAGGAAACTGGATGATGAAATCAGGAATGCTTATACGGAGTCTTGTTACATTCTAGCAAATAATGGTGAACGCGTGCTCGGTTTTGCGGACCTCGATCTCCCCGTTTCTCCCTTTTCGCCGGGTTACGTCTTCAAGGAAGACCCACCAAATTTTCCTCTTCAAAATTTGAGACTGGTAATTTCAATTCGCGTTACTTTGGTCTTTATTAAGGCAAAACAGCAAGAACAATACCTTGTTAGATGAACACGTAACTGAATCGTTCTGCGTTGTTAGATTGGGCTGATATCGATGATAGATCCTCCGAGGCCAACGGTGCCCGACGCAGTGTACAAATGTCGCTGCGCCGGAATCAAGGTGATCATGGTGACTGGGGATCACCCTGACACAGCGAGAGCAATCGCAAAGTACGTCGGCATCGTCACCGATGATTTTTTGCATCACGATCGCAACGAGAAGAAGCACTCGATCGTAGTGACGGGAGTGGAGCTGCGAAACTTCGACTCGGAGGAACTCGACCGTATCATAAAGCAATATCCCGAGATTGTTTTTGCTAGAACATCTCCTGTGCAAAAGCTTCGGATCGTAGAGAGCTGTCAACGACTTCATTTAATCACTGCGGTCACTGGTGACGGTGTCAATGACTCACCGGCATTGAAAAAGGCCGATATCGGGATCGCTATGGGGATTGTCGGTACATACTTTCTTCTATCTTGTTGTTTGCTCGTCTTATCAATGTTGTTTCAGCGATATATTACATCGCGTGTCTCGTTAACAGGCTCGGACGTGAGCAAAGAGGTTGCAGATTTAATTCTGTTAAACGACGATTTCGCATCTATAGTTACCGGGATCGAAGAAGGCCGAAGAGTGTTCGACAACTTAAAATCAAGCATCGCGTATACTCTGGCCAGTAACGTTCCAGAGATAACACCATTTTTGGCATTCATTGTATTTGGCATTCCTTTGCCTATAGGCGTGATCTGTATACTGTGCATAGATCTTGGCACGGACATGTGGCCAGCCATTTCGCTGGCTTACGAGAAATCTGAATCAGACATTATGCTCAGGTGTGACCGATCATTTTATTCCAAATATTCATCTCTATCGTTCTTACTCTGCCAGTCTTAAACTGTTGTATTCTAAATTATAGGAAGCCGAGAATTCCATTGAAAGATCATCTCGTCAGCCATCGGTTACTCTTCATGGCTTACGGACAGATCGGCATAATCGAAGCTTGTGCCGGTTTCTTCACGTATTTCGTGCTGATGGCGGAACACGGTTTTCTACCTTATAAATTGCTACATTTACGATCGTCGTGGGATAGTATCGTGGTAAACGACTTGCAAGATTGTTACGGCCAGGAATGGACGTACGAACAACGAAAGATCCTCGAATATACCTGCCACACCGCTTTCTTTGTCAGTATAGTCATTGTTCAAGTTGCCGACCTGATGGTTTGCAAAACCCGTCGCATCTCGCTTTTCGATCAAGGCATGAACAACTGGGTACTTAATTTCGGAATAATTTTCGAGATAACGGTAGCCTGCATCGTTTGTTATGCTCCTTACATGGACGAAGTTCTTAGAATTTATCCATTGATCTTCGAATGGTGGTTACCTGGTGTACCATATGCCGTGATTATTCTCACTTACGACGAGCTCAGAAAGCTTTGGATTAGAAGAAATCCTGAGGGATGGTGGGATCGTGAAACCTGTTACTAAATTCACAAAACGAATATAACGTGATTCTGATGGTATGACAGAACAATTTAAAAAAAAAGAAAAAAAATGAAATAAAAATAGAATTGATAGAAGAGAGAGAGAGAGAGAGAGAATACACGGATGTGAAGGGCCATTGAAAGTCTCAAGTGCCTGCTAATGAAATTTCAATTTTATCAAATACTCTGTGTCTAAAAATTCTTGGAACATTGATCATCCTGTTTAATATACGGAGTGTTCGATCGACGCGAGTATGCAGAAGAGCAATGGTTTTCTTTTGATTCTACGCGGTCATCGAGTGTTGCAACCTCGTGGATGGGAAAGTGGGGGATGCATATAAGGCTGTGGGACCCTCTCGATGCGATCCAGTAGTCTCTAGTCATCAATTCCTTCGCGTCCGAAGAGCTGTGACTTGATTCTGATATAACGAAGAGAGCATACATTTATCCGAATATTCACGCCCTCCGTCAGGATGAAGACGGAGGTATTCTATCTACTAATCTGTCTTGGTGAGTCCTTTCGTTCAAGTAACATTTTGATCTTTATTAATTGAGTAGTACGCGTTTTCACTCGTTTGAAAAACTTTCTAGTCTGGCAAATGTAAGCCACGTTCGATTGATCCAGCAAAAGTTCCTGCACAAACTCACGAAATACTTGCATTTTGAAGGATTTGCATTGTGAGATAAAAGGACAAAAGCTCGACAATAACTGTTAAAATGATACCCAGTTTGACTAGTGACCTTTAACCGTGGGTATTGTCTTACTTCTCGCAGGCTACTGTTGATCACATCTGATCATATGTGAAATACACATGCAATATGGAAGTCGTAGCCTTAATACGCATGCATATTGATTTAATATCATAGAATTCGTATGATTCATAATTTATTTGATTGATACGTCCTACGTAGACGTGTAATTTCTATCTAACTACGAAACAACTTGCGCCATCGTTCGTTGTTGAGAAATCAATTCGCGTCGTAATCAATGTCGTATGGAAAGTTTAATTTCATCGAAAATTTCAAGAAGAAATCGATCGAGATACGTCAACCGAAATCTTCAACTATTTCTCTGCTTTTCTTCTAAAATTTCTCTCGCCTGAAGTAAAATTCGTTTGCACGATCAGAGCTAAACGATTTCCAAAACGGTCTCGTTCGAAGGCTATATAGAGTGTTGGAAAGTGAACAGGTCTGAGCGATTAAACGACATTTAAATTTCTGACCGAGCAGACACACACGAGAGCCGGCCACTTTCTCGCTTTCTTCTGTTCGCGAGGTCGACCGGCACGGCGTTTACGTACTACTGGCGTTTATATTCAGGGACGCAAGACGTCGCGCCGCCTTGAAAATACTCCGACTAGTCGACCCTCTCTTGCCATTCACCGTTCTTATTCTCTTCTCTTTGTATTTTTTATTCAAATTCATTCGTTATTCCTTGCGACCGTGGACGCGTGCGAATGCATCCGCATTGTACAGTTTCTCGCAGAGAAAGAATGGAAATGGAATTTTATTGCCAATTCGAGATTAAATACGCGTTTTCTTTGCAGCAAAGGCACGGAGGAAAATTTATTTATTTTTTTTTGCTTTTTTTTTTGGCCAGGAAATATCAAATAACGTCTCTGCTAGACACGGCTCAGAGAAAAGAGTCGTGGATCGACCAAGTCGTAACAATCGAACGTGTTTCAGGCGTTGTCACCGCCCTAACCAGGAAGCAAGAAGCGCTCGAGCAAAATCGTAGGAAAGTAGCTCTGCCAACGTTGCAAAAAAAGCAGCCACCTACGCGAGAGCAGCAGGAGGAATACGAGGACGAAGAAGAGCTTTCGGATCAATGCCCGGAACCTAACGGCTATTTCCCGGACGCGGAACAATGTGACAAATATTACGACTGTCGGGATGGCAAACCCATCGAGAAATTATGCCCAGATGGTCTTGTGTTTAATGACTTTAGTCCACAGCATGAGAAGTGCGACCTGCCGTTCGGTATCGATTGCACCAAGAGGCCAAAATTACGTAAGTAAATTGGAATATATCGCAAGTATGGCGCTGAGCTAAATATCATGCTTCTCTGTCAGCTATAAATAAATGTGATTTTCAGAGAAACCACAAGCTTCTCCGCATTGTCCAAGAATGCACGGTTACTTCGCCCACGAAGATCCCAGAATATGCAATACGTTCTATTACTGCGTCGAAGGAAAGTTCAACATGATCACATGTCCAGAAGGCCTGGTCTTCTCGGAGAAAACGGGCATTTGCAATTGGCCCGACGAGGCGCAGAAGAAAGGTTGCGGTTCCAGGGAATTATTCAACTTCACGTGCCCCAAAGTGGACGAGTCTGTCGCTGCTACCCATCCTCGATATCCTGACACGGAGGACTGCCAGTATTTCTACGTGTGTGTGAACGGAGAGATACCTAGAAGAAGCGGTTGCAAATTAGGTCAAGCTTTCGACGAACGCACTGGAAAATGTGATTGGGCGAGGAAAATACCCGAATGGTAGGTACAAACAATTGTAGATTCAGTGGATAAATAGTTGTCAGAAATTCAACGCAGTCTTTATGTGAAATTTTAGCAAAGACTGGTACAAAGGTCAACTAACCGACGAGGAACTGGACGCCTTGGAAAATCCACCGCCGAAACCGAAACCTTCTGGTGGGCATGGCAGAAGAAAAGGCGCCAAACCACCGGCGTGAATTTAAGATTAAGTTCATGTTAATGTTCACCGACATACTTATTTTTTAGTATTTTTATTTTTTTTTTTTTGGAAAATAAAACATTTTGAATACGTGTCTCTTTTTCGTAACGTAGGAACGAAATTATTTTCTAATTGTTACACAATTGCATAATTCTGTTACTGTCACGCATACTCGTGACTGTCTATAGCGTAAACTCTGAGAGTGAAAGTTTTCACTTTTATCTATAATCATTAATATTTCTCGACAGAGTCGTGAAAATTGGAATATAAAATTTTCGAAAATTGCTTCTGATTATTTGTTTGAGACTTTGCGTGTATAATTATTTGAAACAATAATACGCGATGAAAATTGTAATCATAATACTTTCTACAAACAAGTTAGTCTTTCAAGCTATTTGTATCCATCAGCGTTGAATATCTTTATTACTTTTCTTTCAGTGACTACGAAACGCGTATAAATTTTCGTGAGCAGTGAAAGTAATCGAAGTCTGAAACTTCCTCGCATGTTTCACGAGAAATGTTTCCGAAATCTGCTCGATCGATCAGTGTGTCTACGTGTAACGCTTTCGTGATAAATTTAATTTAGTGTCGTTTTCGCAACGATAGAATCGACGAAATTTTATATAACGTTAGAGTAACGTTAGTTTCATATCAAACTTTCTTATTCTATCTTATACTAATTGTTATTATTTTCAACTTAGATTCCGCCATCTGTTACAGATCAGTAGTTTATTCAGTGTAAGATTACTAAGATGTGTAAGACAGAATTAAAAATTGAATAAAGAATGCAATAAAACAAGAGCAAAAATTATAGGAGGATTATATAAGAAAAATAGGAGGAAAAAGTATGAGGGATCTCCTTCGTAAACCAATAAATGATCTAATATTATTTAGTATATATTCGCTTATCGTCCGATTAAATTTATAAGGAATTATTTAAACGAGATATGATTAAATAGAAATGCAAGTTTACGACATGTCGTAACGATATAATGTATACCTGGATTTCGAAACATTCGAAGAACATAATGATCATTTGTAAAGATCGCGGTAATTTTAATTTTTCTGCAAAGAATAGCGAAGGACGTCGAAGTGAGAGTACGATGGAAAAAAGAGGAAGAAGATGAACAGCGGCGATGGCAAGAGAGAAAGAAGGAGACTAAAAGCGCGTGGCCCCTCCGATCAATCTCGATTCTAGACGGTTATCCGCATCTATGAAAATGAAACGAAAGTGGGGAAGAAACATTGGACGTAGTGGGGAACCAACGGGGTATACACCGTGGCGAGTTGCCGAAGAGCTGCAGTGTTTCGCGACGGAGACACCATTTCGAAGGGAAACCAAAAAGTATAGATATTATCACATCTCAGTGACCAGTGTATAGAATAAACTTTGCTAGATTGTCTTCACCCGAGTTGAGAGAATAAAGGATAAAAATATGGTCGGAGCGTCTTTTCTAACGATATTGGCTATGATTGCCATAGCGCGTAAGTATTGTGTTATAATTTTTTTATATAAAGCTTGAAATAACATGCTTAAAATAATAAAGAAACATTTCTTTTTGCTGTTGAAGCATATATTAAAAAATATCACATCCGGTGTGATTAATCAATATTCAAATTCAAAATTTTATTTTGCATACTAACGATTATATTGTAATTCTAATAAATAATGAAATTGCTTTCGTTGAGTATATTATTTTTATACTTCTGTACACTTTTCTCATACCGAATGAAAATATACTTTTTATACTTAATTATATATTTCTATAAATTAAGAAGCAATCCGAGCAAGCATAAAGTTTATCGAATTTACTTTGCAAGTATCCAACTAACAGAGTACACGTTAATTACCGAGAGGGAAAAGAATGGTTTCACTGAAACAGATCTCAGACTTTCTCTTCATTTCACGGCACGATTTGCCACAGCTTCTGAAATACTACTGAATTTCCGGCATCATAATCATCGCGCGAAACCGGTAAAATTTCATAACTGTTTAAATATCTGAAACTTGCTGCCCATCCCACGGAGAAAAATCATATCATTTAGTACAGTAATCTTAAAGATATTCATTTCGCCTGGAGAGTGTGTAAGAGACAGTCGTACTAAACTTTCTAAAGCGTAAATGTCAGATCTGCTACTCGCTGAGTTACATAAGTATCTACATGCTTGTCGTCTCTGAACACATGTAAAACCGATAAATTACATGAAGAAATAAAACAATACTGATCGACTTGAGATTCATGGGACAGAAAGAGAAGTTAGGCTGGTTCAACTACCTCGCGTATGCTACAGCACTTCTCGCCAAGCTGTTTTATATGCTTCTTGAAGCGTGGCATTGATTTCCGGTGTATCTTGCAAAGTAAATGCCGCAAGTAACGTGGAGAAATTTAAGAAATTCGTTCCAATTTCTTTCTCTCTTTTGATTCTAGATTTTTACAAAGTGAAAACAAGTCCCCTGAGAATCGGATTTCATCTATCTGTCCAATTTCCAGTCCTGTCATAAAATATTCTGTTCAAATAATACAAATGTTAATCGATTATCATAAATTCTCCGACAGCTCATAAATACTCTGAAATTTTATTTTCACCATAATAGAAACTTCATATTGAAAAGAAGTGAAGAGATATCTGAGAAATGAAAGAAAGTGAAAGTGTAATATTTGTGAATGTACGCAGACGACTAACAAATCGGCGTTTCTTAAATAAACATTGCGTTTGAAAAGAAATGGAGAAAATTTCATTATTGCATAAAAAGAGTAAACTTTCATTTATGTGAAACTTGTTACAGACGGTGCATTCAACTGCCCGAGTAAAGATGGCCAGTATGAGGATTCAAAGCAGTGCGACAAATACTATGAATGCATCGATGGCATTGCCACGGAGAAGCTTTGTCCAGATGGACTGGTTTTTGATCCGCTCAACCGTAAAGTGAACAAATGCGATCATGTATTCAACGTTGATTGTGGAGATCGTCTTGAATTACGTAAGATTATCGTTGTTATAATATATTCTAAAATAGATTCTCTCAGAGTTACACAAAAATTTAGTAATCTTTATTAATAACATTAAATAAATTCTGGACCGTCATAATTTAATCATTTTTTTATATTCTTGCAATAAATATCTGTATCAAGTACTGAAAATATTCATTGGAATAAAATTGAGCTGTCCGAGTGCGACACGTTACGCGTGTCATTGGCTTTTGCGGTTAATGTCCTTGACATACAGGATTCGATAACGATAAATAATGAAAGTGCTTTCAATATTACCGTTATGTTTCTTTTACCCGTGCAGAACCACCTCAACCGACCAAGAAGTGTCCGCGAAGAAACGGTTTCTTCGCTCATCCAGATCCGTCTGTTTGTAATATCTTTTACAATTGCATTGACGGCGAAGCTATCGAAATTACGTGTACCACTGGACTGCACTTCGATGAATATAGTGGCACGTGTGTATGGCCTGACAGCGCTGGTCGAGAAGTAAATATTTTGTGTCCTGTACTTTAAACACATAATTTGGCATTTATTTGTTTTGACTTGGAGTTGGGAATATTCCAATTTGATAGTATATACAGTAAATGAGAAATGAATGAATACCGTAACAACAATCTGTTCTCTACGAGTATGTATATACTTCTATATATTTCTGTAGGGATGTGGAGTAGTAGACAAGAAGTTGAAAGATGGTTTCGAATGTCCGAAAGAAAGTCAGGTCGACACTAGAGGAATGGTTGTCGATCATCCTAAATTTGCCCATCCAGACGATTGTCAGAAGTTTTATGTTTGCTTGAATGGAGTAACGCCACGTGAACAAGGTTGTAGCGATGGAACTGTTTATAATGAGGAACAGCAAAGATGCGATGCACCTGAAAATGTCCCCGGCTGGTACGTATAATGATTAATTTAAAAAAAATGTATGTGTAAATTTATATATGAACATGGAGCAATTATAAAGGAAATTTAATTAAAAAATTATACCTTTTCATAGTGAGGATTGGTACAAGGACGATGACAAGAAACCATAAAAAATCTTCTGAATTTATATGTCCCGCATCGGGATCTTGGTATCATCATAAAATCACATCATCCTTGTTTAGTGGGTAATCACGTGTGTGATTAGACATTTGAATGTTCATAATTAATAAATTTTGTTTCATTTTATTCATGTTAGCTTTTGATGTTTTCTTTTATCGCTTATCCCAACTTGTTTACAGTATTACTGACAATATAGTCGATATAATGGATCTTTTAAGCGAGTCTGTATTATTACTCGTTCATTATTTACTCTGAAAAATATTAGCAGGAAACTTGTTTGTACAGATTTTATAAGACACAAGTGTTGAAATGTGTACGAAGTGTCTTTGAGTTTTCTATCGTAACTAACGAAGCGTATCGAATGTAACTTTCTCCTAGACACTTTATCGCTTTTTATTCTTAAATTCATCGACAGAAGACTGTTCGTGTTAATGTACTTTTTATATGCATATATTTTCCGTCTAATATATGTCGAATATCTGATTTTTACTTAACATTTGAAATAAAATAATAAGAATGTGTGAAACTAATTGAACAGAAGGCTAAAATAATGCCAATATTGGTGTATTACATTAATAATAAATATTAATAAATTTCTTACGAGCTGTTTAAAATATCGAGATGATATATTCTGCATATATCTATAACTCATCGTGTGAAAGATACTTGTAATAATTATAAACAGAGAGATAGGTATGACCAATCTAAACTTTCCGAACTGTTTCCTGATTACATTGTACTTGTGTAATTGCACGGCATTCATTTATACCCGATTCAATCTAAACTGAAATTTCTTGCATATAGCAAGGATCAGCTGAATCTGGCTTGATTGTAACAGTACCTTAAAGTGCCGTGTACAGAGAAAGGGAAGCAGGAACTCTCCGCTTCTGCAACAGTTAAAATTTAATCGCGATCAAGTTACTCACGGGAAACTCATAAGTAAATTATCAGTTTTTAGATGGCTATAAAAATTATTGCTGACATAATAACACTTTGTTCGATGTATAGAAATGTATAACATCAAAAACAACAGTTCCATAATGTTGCAATTTTTGAAGAATGATTTTTGATCAGGTTATGATAAGAACGGTGTTCTTTCGCGAGGATATTGAGAAATCACTGGTTACCACACATGTTTAAAAAACATTTATATCTTCCGGATTAAAGACTAGAACATGTTTCGAAAGAAAAAATTATTTTGACTAAGAACGGAACGAACATGGCATTATATGTGATTGTATGCCTCACGTTCTGAAATACCGACCATGAAAAAACACAGAGCGTTTCTTACGCCCTCTATAATTCGCTATAGTGAATTATGTCCAACTCAATCGTCAAAGACGATAAAATCAATAGCACTGTTCTTACGAAACTGCAAATACACGGCGTTTTTAAGCAGTAATTAACATAATTGAAAAATTTTGTTGAATATAATTGCATATTACTAAATTAAACAAGTCAAATTCATTAAATTTGGAATTTAAAATTATGATGTAAAATCTAGATACTTTATTTAACTTAATATGGATAAAAGTTTAAAAAATAAAATTACAGATATTTGATAGATTAATTGTCTTTGTTTAATAAACAAAAAAAATTTGAAAAAGAAAGTTTTTTTATTTCTTGTCCCGAGTTGCACAATGTATATTCATAAAAATGCGCGCTTAAATAAAGATTACAGCGCCAGTAAAACGGTGAAACCTACAATTAAAATATGTACGAATTTCTATCTATATTTATTGAAATGCAATAGTATTGCGTGGTCAAGTTTAGGCGGGAAGCATAGCAAGACGTATTTAGTATTATTTCAAAGTTTTCATATTATATTACATTATATCGTATTATTATAAATATATACGATTGAATATATTTTTATTCGATATATTTTTTACTTTTCTGTAAATCGGTCTTGTCGTGTTTGTTCAACCCCCCCCCCCCCACCTTCCGTAAAATTAATTGGCGACGCGAACCTGTTGCGCAGGGGGTAGGTAGTCCAGTGTCGAAAATCGTGGTACAAAGACGTATCACTTCGCGCGCGACATTTATTAACTGTGTAATTCTTTCATCGTCATCTTTTCACTGACTGTATGCACACTGCGCTCAAGTTCCTTTAACTAACGTACGTTTTTACTCAATTATTTGTCGAATATCATCATAATTTGTCACTAAATTACATCTTTCCCTTCGATCATTTTTTCATTGGTCGTATTTATTGGTAGTTTGTATTATGAGTTTTTGTATTTGTTTTCGATTTGGATCATTGCCTAAATTTAATTTTTATTTATCCTTTTTATGCATCTATTTAAATGTTTTGCTTTGCTTTTGCATAGATTATTGGTATAGAAGAAAATTTCCAGCCGTTAGAGACGACCGTTAGAGACGTTACGAAAGTCAATATGGCGCAACGGTAAGTCATTAATGACATTTAATATTTAATCATGTATTAAGTCGTAATATTTAATTGATTCTAATAAGTATATCGTTTTATTTCATCCGGTTTTATCGGATAATTGATACCCTTTTCCAAGTAGTTTGTATTATTTTCGAATAGATACGAATATTATTATACGGATAGATTTGAACGTACATATATATATTAATACGGATAGATTTGAACGTATTCTGCGCAGTCGCATCTTTCGTCTATTGCGCAGCTTCGTTTAACTGGCAGAAAACTACTGCCATCTTTGATGAATATGAAATACATATTTGAAACACAAGATGGGTACTCAGAGTATAATTTTTACAAATTAATTATATTTGCAAAGACTATTTTGCAATATTAGGAAATGTTAATAATAATAATATTTTAAATAGGTATATCAATTAAATATTCCGAATTCTTTGTAATAAAAAATTAAGAAAAATATAAAAAAAAAAGTAAATTTATTCTTTCTTTATTTTCTTTTCCTTTTGACATTTTCACTTTTCTTTGAAGCATAATTTTTATTCAAACGAAATTTCAAAGCTTTAACATTGTAATTATTAAAATTTTCAATCCGAATAGATTTTTATTTTTCATTATCATAAATTAATAGATGATTAATTGATTACCTAAAAAAATTAGTGAAAAAACGAAACGAAAAAGATATTTCACTTTCGGTTTTGCTGTTCAGATTTATATTAAGTGGATAATGATTATATTTTGCACAGCTCTCTTGGCTTATTAATTTTCTTTTTCTTCATGTATCTAGAAAATTTTTAAGATGTCGTCGTTGTGTTACATTTTGATTAATTAGGATTAATTGTATTGAGTTTTCATCAGCGTTGAGTTTTTACATTGAACTGATAACTTTACTCAACTCATAAGATCCCCAAATAGTGGAACACAAAAATATATTAAACAACTCTTAAGTTCATAAAATTTGTAAAATTTGGGTTAATGTCATTTTCGATTCTTGAGCTGCTGCAGATTTCTAATAGATAAAATTTGCCGAGTTTCGAGGGACGATTTTAATTGATTTTTGAACATTAACAATGAACTATCTTTCACTCCTGTAATTTAATATGAAAACGCGTAACTTGTTGGCAAAACTGTTGGTAACCTTTGTTGATTGAACGGTTTTAGAATAGTTGGGTGTTCGGTTAAATGGTATTCCAATAATCGAGGTTGAATAGTACTGTAAAGAACGTTGGATTCAAACATGTGCGTATAAGCATACGTTAACATGCAAAGGGACACTCACACCGTCTGTTGAGATAACATTCAAAAGTCTAGGGAGAAGTTGGCCGAGTAGCTGGAGTGTAATATTAGGAACACTTTGAAAGGTAAAGTTGCACCAATAACAGGTCTAGCGAAGCTCGAAAAGGTCAATAGAATATGCAAATTGGCCTTCAAATGGTCGGCTGGAGGTTTTCTTTGGTTTTCATTAAGTCGTTCAGACTCTCCTTACGTCTCCCTCTAGTCTGCTGTGAAATATGCTGGCTCAATTATATCAAAGAAATATACGACAATTTTTCGAATTAACCTTAAGGATGAAATTGTTACTCAATAAAATGATACATTTTTCTAACCTTGTAAAGTGAATATTACAGACAGTTTTTAGAGTCATTGTCTTTTTTTAAATGAATTCTTATGAAAATTCATTGAACTCTGTATCTGTCACTTATATGGATCCCTTTGAGGATAATTATTATTTGAAAATTGTGATAGAATCTACCAGTGCAAAGGTTCCGTTACGTTGATCAGGATAGCTAAGAAAAAAAGATGATTCTAACGAAAAACCGATTTTACGAACAAAAGCAAAAGATATTTATGATCTTGTGGTCTTCGTCGTTGTCGATCGAATTGAAAGACGAAAATTATTACATTTTTGAGCGAGTGGAAGAAAAATAGCAAAAGACAATTTTTTAACGATTGATCGTTGATAATCTTTGTGCAATCGTCAGCTAGAAATCAGCTAGCTGCAAAAGAATGCGGCAGAGTGGGTAATTATGCTGTAGTCGAACAAGTTCAACTCCACCTTCGAGAATCTCGAGGGAAAAGTACGAAAGGTTCCGAAGAATATTCTTCGGGCAGTGTTGATTTTCTCGTGTAACTCGACATCGAGGCATCCGCTCGCACGAGTCGCCCCAGACCTTTCGTCGGAAGCTTGCGGAAAGTCTCTGGTTCATTTTTTTTTTCGAATTAGAAGGAGACGGTAACGGAGGCGATCGGTAATCGATATCCGTGGAGAGCAAGGGCTCGTAAACTGGCCAAACAACGATTCGTCCGAGCGAGGCGATTGGTTTAGCAGTAGTGGCCACGTTTACAGGTGTGCGATTGCTAGAACAGGTGAACGATTGGTTCGACCCATCCCGTTCTTCCGTTTCGGAACCTCTCTTTCCCCTTCGTTCAATTCTCCTTTCCCCATTTCACGAGATAAAGCGTCAGAGTGATCGCTAATCTCGCCTCGCTCTTACACGCCCTTTCTCCCTCCCGTATTTAAATTTTCACCGGTAGCTTCACCAATAGCTTCGTTACATTTTTAATCGAACTGCAGCCCGCTTTCTCTCCCTTCCCTCCTCGCTCGGTTATGCGAAAAATCAGGAACACAATAAATGTAATATTCGCTAATATTCGCGTTTTTTTTCCCCCATTATAAATTATCGGGATCGCGATACGAGCGTTTAGCTAGTTATGCTAGTTAGGTAAAAGAATAAAATGTAGTGTAGAGTATAATGTTAGGTGTTTCTATTACATACAACGATACAATAGCTGCAGTTACTTGTCTGACAGTGGTGTCAGTGTTCAATTTGTGTCTACAGTCGATGCACCTTATCCAGTGATTTGAATGAAAATTTTGGAACGTTTACTATTGTAGAGATATAACGTAAATAATATTTATTTAATAGGAGCAATGATAATGGAACGACAAGTAATTAAACAAGATAAATAACATTCAATCAACACGAGTTAACAACTCAAATAAACTCTTTTAAACAGCTCTTTCTGAATGATCTCTCGCGACTCTCGGTTTTTCAACTCGTTCGACTCTAATCTTTCTAAAAAGAAAAACACAATTATGTTGGACTTCTCGCATCACATTCATATTTCATCATATATTTCTAACAAACGGGCCATTTATTAAATATAACAAAAAAATTACAACTACAGATTAATTATAATAGCCGATACTACTACACTATCCTAAATGTAATTTTGAAATAATTAGTATCGAGTCAAGCGCAACGATTACGTTGTCCCATAGAATTTTAAATTCCCCGTTCTTTCTAGCGGGTCAAATTTCACTTTAGTTGAAGTTAAATTTATTTGCGACTTCGAGCCGAGGCGACTTGAGCGATCCCATAACTTTCTATCGGTCCAGGGTATTCAGTTTCGGTGAATTTTTCGGGAGAGCAGATTTTCTTGAAAAGCGAGCATAATCTAAAGTTTATAGCGCCGGCGTTGCTCTAAATTTATCCAGGGCACGCGCGTTTTTACGATGTTAAGACGCTCGGGGGAATCGAGGTGTTGCTCGAACGGATTCGAGGAAGATAGTTTATTTGAACTAGTGCGGGCGCAATTTTGGCTATTTACAGATTCCGAATGCTTCAAATATTCAGGCTCGATTGATTCCTCGAGCTTCCTATTTCACTCTCAAACAGCCCGGTAACACGTTTCCATCGATGTACAGGGTGGAAAGAGAAGTTTGTCCGTTAGATGAATTCTGCACCTTCGATTTGACGGAGATACGTGAGAAGAATCTGTCTCAAAATTGACCTTGACCTTGAATTTCAAGGTTTGTATTCTACTCGTCGCGATGGTAAAACTTTTCCAAGGAACCTAATAGTTC